CTAGTGGCTTTCTCGGCCATTTTAACGGACTTTGCGCCATTTCTTTCTTTTCAACCAAGATTAGTCTGATCGAAATTTCATATTTTTTAGAGTAAAGTACATCTTAGTTACTGAGCTTTATAAATTATAGTGAAATTCTATGGTAGTAATATAGTAATCTATGACTTTTTAGTTATTCATATATATATATATATATATATAACATGAAAAAATATGTTGTTTCATATCCTCCACATGCAAAATTTGTAAAAGCTTAGCAACCTACTAAAGTAGCAACTGAGTACAAAGGTCGTAATTGGAAGAGATAATTGTTTGCTTTACTTCTTGATTTACTGTTCTATGTTTTAGGGAAAATGTGTTTAAGAACTTATTTCAAAATAGCAATAATCTATATACATATATGATTTATAATAATTGAAACATAGCCAAGACAAGTTACTTTGCACAGACCAAAGGTCAGTTTTACGTTATCTGATACAGTAACATGAGGGCACGTGAACCGCATCATTGTGACTTCTGTATTGTTAACCAGGCACGTCTGAAAGGTCAGTATAATAAAATTAATCAGTATATATAAATGTACAATGTTATGAGATTTAAGCTATTTAGTCTAAATATTTATGTTTTCGTGTTATAATTTGTGTTCATTCTAGAATGAAAGAGGCATAATTTATATTTATTTCCTAATTTGTTTTGGTGGTTACGAGATCGGTCAAAGCTACTAAACCCATACAGAGATTCATTACTGAAAATAACAGATAAAATATAAAGTTTTTTTAAAGAAATGTTTGATAACTATCTGGACATTATAAAGATTTTGCATGTGAAATTTCAAATTTTTCTGATGAAGAAAAAAGGCATGAGAAAAACACTGCTTTACAAACCTTAAGACTTGTAACGCATTGCGAATTTGAAATAGTCTGAAGCCGATATTTTAGTTAAGTTACACTATTTGCCAACCAGATTGACGTGCACTGTTTTCGATTTTCTCACAAATACAAAAAATGTATATATATAATAAGTAATATATACGAATAATTACCACAAACAAAGTTTTATAAACAACAATTTCACTAACTTACAAACCACATAGAATCTTCTTTCTAGTTCAGAGTCTCCTTGATATCCAGCGAGTTAACTTGAAGTCTATGTACGTACAATTGTCGTGAAGCTAGCTAGCTTTGTCAGACACTGAATTGTTGGACCCTCGAAGTAAAATAATATTTTCATAAAACCACTAATGTCCAATGAGAATTTAGTAAAACTTTCGGAAAGATACTAACGTCCGATGAGAATCTATTGACATTCGAAATTTATAACTGTTCCTGGTCAAATGTTGTATATTTTCCACTTGATAAGGGTTAGCAAAATCATGGTTTATAGCATACATGGTTATAACAGGTTCCTAGCAGACTTATAAGCTATCTCTTTTTGGCGCGTCGCCTTGCCTGTTTTATAGGTGCGAGAAATGTTTTTCTCAAAAGTTCTGACAACAATACTGAACTATATTTAACCGGTTACGGAAGTGGATATATTGTCGATTCTTGCGTTCACAAATATTCTACAATCTTGGAGAATTGGCGGGAATTTTGCCATACGTAACTAACACTGTAAGCTAGGCGCCTTTTTAAATATAAACTCATTCCAAACAAACATTGTCATTTAAATAAATATATAACAAATTCGTTATATGCAATAAATATCTGACACTATAAGTTACGCATATTTTTAAATACAAATTTAATCTAAACAACGTTCATATTAAAAATAAATACATAACAATAAATTTGTTTCAGACTTAATAAAAAAAGTATTATATTTTGCGTATGAAAGCATTGTAATGTTTGCTGATAATCTGCCAAATTTCGTTAACATTCGCTTACTAATTTAAAGGTTATAGCATGAAAACTATAACAAGCGCAAATTATTACGTTATAAAATTTTGAATGTGAGTCAATAAACTAGATGACATGGCCTTTCACCTGTGACCCGAAAAGAAAGGGTTAAAAATTAAGTAAAAAATAGATCCCAAGATATCGCATACCCAGAATCATTTTTGGGGATTGAATGAGAACAAAGTTCCTATTTTGACAAGGTTGTTTTCCAAAAATCCTAAAGAAGCTTAGCACACAGTTAGTATGGTCTGTAAATAATGTACAACATTATATATGTGAATGGACAATTTTTTCCTTCCAGACTTTCTTTGTACACTTAGCCCCTGAGATAAAGTAAACGTTGAAATTCACCCTTTATTTCTAAGGGTATAATGTATTTCACTCTTAAACTATTGTAAGATTATAGGTGATATGATTGTTAAGGGAACTGATATTGTCATTGTGTCAGTGCCTTGTCTTTTTTGTACTTAAAAGAGAAAATGGTAGGACAAGAGAATACAAATGTAAAATTTAGCGGGTAGGGGTCATTTTCAGTTAAAACAGTTATATTTTTTTTAATGGGTTAGTTGACCTTTGGAATTAGTTGCATTCAGATATGGTGGATGCAGTAATTTAAAGGAAAGCTTGATAAGAATACAAATGATAAGGGTTGGCTTTCTGTTGTTTTTTCTTTTAAGTTTTACTTAGTGGATGAAACAGCTTTGGTGTACCAACAGCGATCTTGTTATCCTTAAAGGTTATGTTAAGGTGCTGACCAACACTACTGATGGTAACTCACCATATCCGAATCATCCATATAAAAAATAAAACTATCTTGACTGGAATTCTTAAACTTGTGTCTTCTCATCGTTTTGTTTTTAGAATACAGTCAGCACAAAGAAATTGGAAGCCTTTCTTTTATCAATCCCTTTGATAATTTTGTAAACTTCAATAAGATTGCCTTTTACCCTTCTTTTCTCAGTAGCAATATGAGATCTTAACCTACCTCGTTAAGATAACCTTTCCATCCTTGCAATCATCGTAATAGCCATTCTCTAAATCATTTCCAAAAAGTCAATATCCTTTCTTAGATAAGAAGGTCAAAATTACATACAATACTCCAAATAAGAACTAACTGGTGGTATGTATAGAGAGGTAATTACATATTTTGACTTGCAGCTGCTATTTTTAAATTTATTAATGTATTAGCTTTGCAGCTAGCAACAGGCCATTGGCTCAATGATTTGAATGCCTTATCTACTACTATACCAAAATCCTTTTCTTTAGCGATGTTATTGAATGAGTTGCTATCTATCCTAAAATGTGTGACCTAAATGCTTTACCTTACTTTTACTATAATTAAAAAACATTTGCCAACCATTTGTCCATCATACTAACTTATCTAAGTCAATCTGTGGTACCTCAGCATCGTCAATAGAATAGAAATTCTCAAAAATTTAATGGTATTAGCAAAGTACCAATTATGCCCGTATCAATAACACTTTTGTAAATAAAACTAAGCGAAATCCCAAGCACTTATTCCTGAGAATGAGGAAATTCCTGATGATTGGAAGATTTTCATTGTGATTCCTTATTGTAAAGTGAAATTTGCAAATGTAAATGGGGACCTTTGAAACTAAAAGTTTATCAGTTTGACTTCTGTTGTTGGCATTACATTGAAACCTATAGTTAGCAGTTGATATTGTGTATACTGAATTTCAGAAAGTTTTTGATAAGTTACCTCACAAAAATTGTTTTCATACGCATGGAACTAATTAGTGGGAAAAAAGTTGAGGGGTGGGTTAAAAATTAACTTGGGGTGAAAAGCAGAAAAAGATTATGAGAAAAGAGGATTTCTGTAATTAGAAGAAACTGACTTGTAGTATGGAGGATATATCAAAATGAGAAATCATGAAAGCTGTTGTTAAGAGAATGTGTATAGGTTTGTTTTGGGACTTTTTTCATGCATTGCTCTTGGCAGTGATTCAAACAGTTTCTTGGGCATTAATATTTCGAAATACATCTGTGATGACAAGATTCTAGGAAAAGCTCATTTTAGTTAGAATGTTTCTTTATTCAAAAGAATTGTGATGGTCTGAGTGACAGAGCCAAATGTAGCAACTGAGTTTTAACACTAATATATGTCAAGCTATGTACTGTACGGAAATTTCTTAACAAGTGATCTGAGAAGAGTATTAGTGTTGCAGAGAAAAAAGAAGTTAGGTGCAATATATTATAAATAAATCCTTAAAGACTTCTTCTCATTGTTTAGCTATAACTGAAATGAGCAAATGTTTTGTTCTTGATTTAAGAAGTAATAAGGATATTTTTATCTTCTACAGAATTGGTAAGTGCTGTGTACTGTATTGTTATCCTTACTATAAGAAGGATATCAACATGTTGAAAAAATGCAAGTCTAGCTAATTTCCCTAACATAAGTAAATATAAAATGAGACTTGAAACTTTAAATTTGTCCTATCTGGAACATAAAAGAATAACAATTGACTCTATTGTTTGATATTGTTATTTGGAGATATAGAAATGACTTCTTGTATGGGGAAAGCAGTATTTATATAAAGGAAATACAGCTGCAGACTTATTTCTTATTTACTTTAAGAATTCCATTAGGTAAAGTGATTTGCTTAATGATTTAAGAGTGTTTTGCTTATTTGATTTATTTTAACTTTTATTGGAAAACAATATAAAGGCTGGCCTGAATTTAAATTGTTTAATCTCAATCTGATGCTTTGGTTACTTGCTTTAGTTGGTGAGGAATGATCTTATTGAAGCCATTGGATTGAATGCTTTTTTCTTATATAAAACTACACAGTTTATTTCCTGTTGTTTTGACCATTATCTGTAGTCAAAGTTGGAAGAAATAATGTAAAAGATTTTGACACATTGCTAAACTTTATTGTTAGCTAGTTCAAACTACTTTTGTAAAGGTTGAGTGCAGTAAATTTGCAAAGTAATCAATTTCAGACTGTAATTAGTGTGCACATTCTCAGTACAATATAATCATGTAAACATTTAGTGTTTATATGCATAACTATAAACAGTTTGAATTATGCTTACTTCAGTAGATGTAAGTACATCTTACTATCAAACATATATTTTTAATTTTAGCTCGTTGTAGTGAAGCTTGTCTTAATGGTGGACGATGCATTGGGAATGACCGTTGTGCATGTGTGTATGGTTTCACAGGACGTAGGTGCGAGAGAGGTAAGTCTAAAGCTATTTAGTAATTCTCATTCTACATTTGCCATACAGTGCAAACATACTGGATTATAATTCTACTTTAAATGTTGTAGTACAAGTTCAGGATCATCTGGACAAGGTCAGCAAATGACTTAAGTCTTAAGAAGTGCTTCAGTGTTGTGAAATATAAATTCTAATACGGTACATTACCTCCTCTCACATAAATAGCTATTATCGCTCAGTGCTGCTCTCTATATGCAAAAGAATTATGCATGGCACAAGTCTTTTATCTACCCTCTATTGGAATTAACTGATTCCAGTGCATCTCTCATGCAAATTATCATGTGACAACCCTCCACCAATAAGTGTGGCACAATACCCGTTTCAATACCCGTGGTGGGCAGAGCACAGATAGCCCATTGTGTAGCTTTGTGCTTAATTACAAACAAACAAACCTTTGGCAGTACTCGTGTTCAGATGCTTTTTGATTTACAGTGATGAAATATTTTACTTAACTTAATTTCCCAGTGTTTATTTTTTCACACACTCGCAAATTTTACATCAAACACTTTTGTTTGACTTATATATTTCTACAATGAATTTTGAGGGTATCATACCTCCTACTAGCACTATTTCACAGGCTGCAGGTGGGGGAGACCCGTTATTGGACTTATCTGCAATGAGATCGATCATTATATGGGTCAACTTCCTTCTCCTGAACTTGCCCCAACTACCCCACCTGCAGAATCAGCTAGGCATTTTGTGACATGATTTCTCAGGTATGTGATGTTTTAACCATTTCCCTGCTTTCCCATGATCTCTCATTACCTCCATATTGTCTCACTTATCGTCTTCGGCTCTCACTTTCTACATGTGGTTTCACTGTTGGTCGGATCTTCTGGATCGTAATGTGGCCTTTCCGAAATTCATTTGCTGTCTCTTTATGTTAGGGACGTATGTATATCTTTTTTCTTCAGTGGTATGTTTCTGATCATGTACCTGATATTTTGGATTCACATGTGTAGTCTGTGTGTCAACTTTCCTCTTTAGTAGCACATTTGTTGTAGCCACATCAAGCCCCTATTCCTGTTTCCCATCCTGGTACTTATCTGCCCTTACATGTTTCTCCTTCCAGCGGTTTCTCATCTTGTCATTTTATTCAATGTCGATAGGCATGTCACCAACAGTACCAGAAACTACCCAGTGGGTTCTGGTCAGGTGGGAGCTGAATTGCAACATATCCATGGGTTCTTTGGGTTTTATCAGAAAGGCATGTCCTACAATTTCTTTTCCCACTTCCTTTGTCTCAGGTACCCTTTTCCTTCCCCATGCCTTGGGATCCTACCACCACCTGGCGTCTGTCAGAGGTGTTACAAGATCTGTCTCAACAGGTCATTGCACATGTTCATCATCTTTCTCCAGGCTGTTTGTTGTCCTCGCGAAAACTGGAGACTGGTGACCTGTAATAGATTTGTCCCACCTCATTTACTTTTTCAATCCGACCTGTTTTACCTTCAAGTCATTTTTCACCCTCAGATGGGCTTTTTCTCTAGGTTTAAAGATTACCACGATGAATATTGCATATCCCGATATCTCGTCACTCACGACCCTCCCTTTGTTTGTTTTTTTGTGGGGTGGTTTATCTGTTTTGTGCACTTCCCTTCAAAATTGCTTTGGTCACGTATGTTTTGTCAGGTGGTCAGAGCATTCGTTCATCACTTGCATGCTCTCTGTTTGTGCTTTCCTCATTTTTTGGATGACTGGCTACTGGCATTCCTAGTTTGCCCTTGAAGAAGAAAGGTCCACCTTTTGAAAGTGCTTGAGTTATAGGGTTTTTATGGCTACTGTTAGCTCATTCCAAACAGGAGTCTGCTCGTCGTACTCATCAGCTGCTCCTGGAGGTGGCTCTAGTGGGCTGGTTAATCAAGTTGGAGAAGTCTTTCCTGCAACCTTCCCAATATTTTTTTATTTGGGTATTTTTCTTATTCAACATCCATCTCAGTCAGCACCACCCTTCTCCTCTTCGACTTCATTTGATGGGGCTTTCAATTCTCCACACTCTTATTACTCCCTCTATTACTGCTCATGAGGTTCTGTCACTTTTGGGAATGTGGTTTTCCATAGCAGCCCTTATCCCCTTAGGTCAGGCTCATATGTGGACTTTTCACAACCAGTGGAATCTTAGGAAGGATTCATTTGGTTGCTCTTATTACCTTCCCTCCTACCCTTGTTGTCAATCTACATTGATGGTTGGGCATGACTCGCATGTCGGCAGGTGTCCTGCTTCCTCCTCATCATTTGGATTTACACATTTCGTGGATGCATCCCTTCAGGGATGGGGCACGTGAATCGATCAACAGGAAGATTCAGGATTTTGGTTTGTGACTGACAGGTCTTATCATATCAACATCCTGGAGCTTCTTGCTATATGTCATGCTTTGGCCTATTTTCTCCATCTGACCAGAAATCACCTGGTAATGATCCATTCCAACCTTTCTTCACTGATTACTTATCTCAATCACCAGACCAGCAGCCATTCTCGATCCCTCTGTATTCATACATTGGATCTTCTTTTTTGGACCCACATGCTCAACATTCATATCATTGCATGTCATGTTCCAGGTGCTTTTGATATTGTTGCTGATCAGATTTTCCATCCTTACAAAGTCTACCCAATGGAGTGGTCTCTCAATCCATTTATTTTCCAGTGGCTTTGCCTTCGGTGGGGTACTCCGCCCATGGAAGCTTTTGCTACATCCCTCAACCACAAATTGTCTCTGTTTTGATCTCCAGTCCCTCATCGTATTGCTCTGGCTGTAATTGCTTTCAGGCAGGATTAGACCAACAAATATCTATCCTCCCATTCTACTTCTTTACCTTGCCACTCTGTGTTGTGTCCTTCTGATAGCTTCTTACTGTCTGGCTCAGCTGTGGTTTCCATGGCTTCTTCAGCTCCAACTTCCTCCTCCATTACCTCTTCCTGTGACTCCATCCCTTCTTTGTCACCCTTGGTCACTGGTGCTTCATCCATCCCTTACTATCATCCATCTTCATGCTTGGTTTCCTTCGGCCCTTGGCGAGGAGATCTGGCTTCTCCCAATGGATAGCTTCTTTGCTGGCTTGTTCCATTTGCCCTTCCTCCATGGAAGTTTCTCAAAGCAAATGGAAACTTTTCTGTTGTTGGTTTCTGGGTCCATGGTTTATCAGTGATCAATCCACTGTTCCTCATTGTGTAAATTTCCTTACTTGGATATTCTATCAGGGGTCTTCTATCTCCTCGATCTCGGATTTTCGGGTGGCCTGGTTCCACACTTTTCGTGTTTTTTTCTCCTCTCCTAAACTTTACCTGTTGATGTCTTCGTTCCAGATTCATCATCTGTCATGGTAGGCTGCCTTTCCAGATAGGGATATTAATGTGGTCCTGCATTGCCTCACTTTGCCTCCATTCAGATTGTGGTTTCTTCCTCTTTGGACTTTCGTCTTCCACCTGTAGCCATTTTTCAGACTTTAATGAGATTTTCACTGGTTATGTTATTTTTTCTTATTCTTTACTTTCTTTTCAGGGGCTCTTTTCTCTTTTATTATTACTCAATGTTTGGATCCCACTTTCTGGCGAGTAATGCCTGACCAGCCATTCTTTAATTGATCAAATCCACACTGTAATGCCATGTCGACTTACATATTATATTTCCATGGCCACACAATGCACACTGCAGAGATAGGGTGTTCCAAATTTGCTTGTAGGTTTATCTTCGTGATGGAATTTTAACAAAAAAAATTACCATCCAAGGTCGTACTCACCCATGGACTAGATGGCTAAAGCAGAAGCGGATAGCTGCCCATCCCTGCCATGTCTTGTATGTAAGTCGGTATGGCCTGCTTTTAAAAAATAGGGTTTCATGGTCACCTTTTGCACTTTCTCAGGTGTTGTCATTCTTCCAGACTCTCCACCACCTCCCCCCCCCCCTTCTTCTAATGAAGTTTGAGAGTCCTTACCACTTTCCAGTTCCAAACTGCTTGGATGGTGGACCATGGAGGCATCCTCCTGAATGGGTTAAGGAAATCAAAATACAAACAAAATATAGAAATTATTATAAAACCATCCAGTAGAGAGTAGGGTGGTGGTGTTCTGCTGGTGCACATGACATTATATCCTCCAACATGAAACAAATATAAATGGAAGTGAGCCATCAAAATTGTAGTTCACCCCTTTGATTGTGATCTTTCATCCTATCCCTACATTACTGTCAGTTCTCAGTGACATGGGTTTCGGATATAGTTGATTTGCCATGTATGGTTCGTCATGCCCTAGCCACTCTACACCTGGGACACATCCTTTTAATTTTACACACTTTTATATTTTCTGGGATAGTTTCATAAATATTGTATGGTTGCGATCATTATCCAACTTGAGTTCTCTGCCACTTGGATGTATTTCTCTGTTTTTCCACCAATATGTACAATGGGCAAAGAGTATACCTGGCTCAGAACTGGTGTAGTACCCCACATCAGATCTTAGAATGAGACTGTCTTGTCTTATGGAATGTCCTTCCAACACTTTCGAAGGATGCTTCTTTCTTTCCCTTGCAGTGGTCTCTCCACCTTTTCAGTGTGGGGTTGAAGCTATTTATGTGAGAGAAGGTAATGTACTGTATAGGAAGTTATAATTTTCCTACACTGAAAATGTAATTCGGATAGGTACTTACCTTACATACTTACCACCCTACCAAACGAGAAGTGATAGTTCGATAGAATTGAATAGAGGGAGCCATATGCATCATGAGAGTATGTCGCATTGTTATTGGTGGAGGGTTGTCCCATGATGATTTGCATGGAAGATGCATTGGAATCAGTCAATTCGAATGGAAGGGAGATAAAAGGCTTGTGGCATGCATAAACTTTTTGCATATAGAGGGTAGCACTGAACGAGAATAGCTATTTACGTGAGAGGAGTTAAGTACCTATGGGACATACATAAATTATAACATTCACACGCGGGATATAGGAGTTTGAAAAGTAGATTTGATGTGTGGTATGAAACTTGGTGCAACAAGAAAATTAAATCATTATGATTTAATTGTAAAAAATCAAATTAAGATTTTTTTTATTGTTATACAGCTGTGCAAAGAAAGAAAGAAAGAAACAGTCATGAATTAATGTGTTCACACAGTTCATTTGTAATGATAATGTTTAAGGTAAAATGGTAGTTATTGCCAATGCTGTATGTAGACGTTTGCCATGAAATTAAGTAAATCTGTTAGTTTTTAGCATTCTGATTGAGAAAACTAAAAATTTATAAAGGATTCCTCTTTGGAAAATGTGTGAATGATAAAGTTTCAGGAAAGCAGCTAGACCCACTTTTAGATATTACTGCATATACTAATTTAAATAAAGTGTAATATAGTATAGAAGAATATTTCTCCTATCATTAACTCTAATAGGATTCTAGAAAGCTTATGTTGTGCTTTTTTTAAGTTTCTGTACCTTTTGGTCTGAGAGCGATTCTTTTTAGAATACAATTTAAATTGTGTTTCAAAAATAGCTTTTTATTTTATAAAAAAAATATTACATCATGCTTTCTATAAAAGCCTATTTTAGTGTTTACCAGTAAGTTCATATATTTTTTTAAAATATTATCTCTCCTTTAGAATAAACAAAGTTATAACTGGTCGGTAAACAATTTTAAATAAATAACAAGCTCTATAAAGAATTTTTTATATCTTATCAAAAAGTAGAATGGTAACTTTAATTATAAAAAGATTGAATTTTAAAAGTAATGTTTGGATAGCAAGTAGATTTGAATTGTTTTGATAAATAAATAGACTTATAAATCTCTAGATTACAGAACAGGGCCATGTTTTAAGAAAGTCCAGAACCAATTCTGTTCTGGCCAGTTACCAGGGGTTTCCTGTACCAGACAACTATGTTGTGCAACAGTTGGAGTAGCTTGGGGACATCCATGTGAGCAATGTCCTGCAAAACTTGACTGTGATAGAGGGTACATCACCAATATCAACACCAAGAATTGTCATGGTAAGATATCTAGATATTGAATTAAATACAGAGAAATGTGCATATACAGAAGGTTGTTCATAATCTATTTTAACAGCTTTCATATCCAGTCACATTAACCTGCCCTCTCTCATGTCCTGTGACTACAGAGGTTAAAAACTGTGGCCCTCTTGTTGAGGTGTGGTGACTGACTTACATTAGCAGATGATTCTTAACATCTATATTGTTATTGAAGAACACAAAGTTCTATTCCAGAAGTATAAAAACTTGTACGATATGAAATGTTAGCATTTCAGAGAACGGGATACTTATGGTTCTAATCCCTACCAATAAAGCAGAAGGGGATAGTAATAGGCAGCTTCAGGACTGGATACAAGTTGGACACTTGTTCATTGCATCTAAAGTTGGAGCTTCTCTTGGTACTGTAAACATGTATTTAGATCTACAAAAAAACAGCTCAAAACTGTGTTCATAAACTTCTTCCAGAGCAGAAAATCCAACTGTTCGAAGCTCTACAAGTGGTATCTGGTATGTGATATATGGAAATATGTTGACACATAGGATGAAGCATATGTCTATTTATGTGTTTGCACAGGTCTGGGCAACTTATTAATGTCCTGCTGATCATATAATATTTAAAAAATGGTAAAGAGCATTTCACAATCATTACAGCTATAATGATATGTTAAACATCTGGAGGGGAAACACAAATGCTAATGTGATCTTTATATGCTATCAAGTTAATGTATTAACATCATTATACTGCAAGGAAATATTAGTACTACCTGTCTATGGACTGAATGCCAATAAAGTTTGGCTCCATTCAAACAAAGCATCCAACCACATGTCCATGTTAATATGCCACAAAATGCAAGTACAAATTGGAATTGATATTCATGCTATATTATTTGCAGACATCTCCAATGGAATTCTGTAATTTTTTGGTTACTCAAATGGACCCTTAGAATTTGATAGATTTTGGAAAGCATTTAAGGAGGAGTAGGACAAGATTGACCTCACTGCATTGTATAAGAGCCTCCTTCTGGAAATTGCACTGTATAGCAATGTTTCTTAACCTTTTCAATAACATGAACCAACATGCTGCCTCCCTAAACTGTCGCACACCACTAAAATGCAAGTCCAATAAAAAAAATCATTATGACTTTCATATCAATATTCTATAAGTTTTTGTGAAATCCTACAGACCAGTAAGGTAGTTTGATGAATAGATGGTTGAGAAACATTGCTGTAGAGAAATAGTTAATACTAGGGCTACCAAATAAAGCACGGGGTGCTACTATAGTGTGCTGTCTACAAAGATATTTACAGTATAGTGTGCAGTCTACACAGATACCATTTTAACTTTTGTTTATTTGCTATTCGTGCCATTTATTATAAATAACGCTTTTAAACTAATAAAGTACAAAATAACATTACATAACGTTTTGGGGGCAAATATAATTGGAATGAAATGAATTCCAAGAATCAGAATTAGCACAATTATAACCTAAATTTAAGGTACTCTTTTGGATAACACAACTTATTATTATGTTTTATTGAATCACCAAAATGGTGGTGACGATAGTATCTGTGTAGATCACATGCTATAATATAAATACAAAAACAGTCTAAGTAACATAGAAGTACTTAACAAAATGTAAGCTTAGGTTTGTAAGCAATTTTTTTATTTTAAAAAAGTACTTATAGGAAACAGTTGACTGATAATAATTAAAACTAACATCAAGGTTGTTTTTTAAGTATGTTAGAAATAAGCAGAATGTTAAAATCCTTAAATGGTGCCGGTGGCAAGGTTTTTGTTGAAGTCTATTTCTGACCCTCAGTATTCTATAGGAAACATTTGAATTGATCAGAATTGTGTAAATATTAGTCCATTGTTGGTAGTAAGTAAAAAAGATATGATGATTAAAAATAGGTAAAGCACTAGGAACAAACAGATTTATTTGCAGGGTTTTAAAGAGATCAAAGATCAGATATTTGACCCTTTCTTTTTCATGTTTTGTAGGTTGTGAGGAATTAAGTTACCATTATTTCTTCCTTCATATGAAGGAATATGTTCGTACATAATCATTACATGATATGTATTATCTTATCATTATACACTCATTACATTATACATGCATAACTTCTATTATAATAACTTACAAGTTTCCTACTTAAATTTTGTGCAGTCATCTTGTCTAAGCTTAAACTACAGTGTATGATGTTTCTATCATTGATTGGTTTGTTATGTTAATTACTGTAAGCATGTGACACCAATGTATGTTGAGCTGTAGTACATAAATAATTAACTGCTGACTTAGGTAATGATTTTCAGTAGTAACTTTTCCTGTTAGCATTTTTTTTTATTAGTATCACTTATACAGGTAATACCATGTAGGAGATAATCTACAAGTGCCTGATTGGATCACCACTCAGCATGTAAATGCCACTTGTCTAGTATTTATGAATTGTCTTGTGTAATTTCTTCTTATGTGTTAATCAACAGTTCCCACAGTAACATGATACGTTTCTGTTGAACTAGTTGAGGCTGTTGTAGACAACCTAGTTGCCTTATTACAAAACTAGGTCATCAGTATAACTCAGCATACATTGGTGACACTTATCTACAATTATTAACTTAATTGTAGATGATAAGGCAATCAGTGGTAAACACCTTGTACATCTAATATCATGTGACTGTTAACACTTGAGTATATACTGTAGTTTAAACTTAGACAAGATGATTGACAAAATGAAAGTAGGAAACTTGAAAGTTATTATTAATAGAAGTTATGTATGTGTAATGTAATAAGTGTATAACAATATGATGCCTGCATCTGAAGGAAGATATAACCCTAACTTAATTCCTTACAAGGTCAATAGATAGTGGGCAGGTGCCTTAGAATTGGAAAAGTTGCTAATGTAACTCTTATTTTAAAAGGGGGTCATAAGTGTTCTGGAAATCATAGGCTTGCTAATATTATGTCTGTAGTAAGAAGAATTATAGAAAGTCTCATAATAAAAGCTTTGCAAAATCATTTAGTACAATATGAATAAAGAGCCAGCACGGATCACTAAAGAGAAACCTTTTCTTACTAATATTTAAATTCTGTTTTGAGGATTTTACTTGTCTTGATTATGGGGAAAATATTGTACTTGCTGTATTTATATGTTCAAATAAAATTAGCTTATCATACCACAAAGAAGATAACCTAAGAAAATCAGGTCAATAGGTTGGGGAGACTAGTTAATAGGATTATTGGTTGCCTGTGTGAGAGAAAACAAAATGTTGTTATTAATGGAGTCCAGACAAACACCACATTTGTTACTAATAGTGTGCAAAATTATCTGGGAAACTTATATGATAAAGGCCTCTGATTTCTTTGTGGTGCACCTGAATACAACAGGTCAAGAGGACACAGGTTTAGGGGGAGGGGTTTAAGATTTGAAAAAGACATGGTAGGCTCCAACTAAGACAGTTTTATTTCTTGAACAGGGTAATTGGCTTAGAGAGGTATGAGGCAGTTAGCAATAGTGAAGACTGACACCTTATGAGAGTTTAAGAAGGAAATCGATGATTTCCTTAAAATAAAGGAGGATTTAAATTTTTACATTTCTTATGTATGGTGTGCAAAATTGCCTTGAAAGATCAAATGTTTCTTTGTCCTTAATGTTTTGTTGCATTGTACTGATTGTTACTTGTAAAAGTAAATTCTAGTAATGCTCTTTTTTAATTTATAGAAGAACAGTCAGGGTTAACAATTAAGTTATAGAAAGTCTTCTGCAGAACAAAAAGTAATGTAAACAAATAAAATAATTTCTGAAGCACAAAATTTAGAACCGATCTTGAGTATATGGTAAAAAAAAAATTTTGAGTTTTAAAAGAACAAAGAAAACATAAAATGAAAATGTTTAGTCTTTTAATGAATAATAAATGATAATTGTTATATGGTGTGATATCACCACACAAACGTTTTGATTATATCATTCTTTACTGGTTTCCAGTAAGTACATAATTACATTTTAGATGTACAATATATTTTATTTGTTGTGCATTTCTGTTGTTACTTTTTCAAACTGTATTCATAGTAATATTGTGTTCTTAATTAAGTTGAGAGAAAAAATGTGGTTATTAATAATTTTTGTCTTATTTTGGTTAAAGAAGCTTAATCTAATATATAAGCTAGTTTCATTGAAAGCAATTTCTTATGCTTTTATTTATGCAAGTTTTTTTTTGGCAATGCATTTTCATCAGGTCTGTGAGGTGGGTGAAAGCTCAAAATGACTGATTATATATAATTTGACTTGCCATTCTGTTACTTGCTTTTCATGTTACTAATCTAAGATTAAGCATTTTTCTTCAAAGATTATTTGTTTAATTTGTTGAAAGTCACTGAATTTATGTTATAAACAAATAATAAAAAAAAACTTTGTTTCTGTAGATGTGAATGAATGCGAGGCTATTCCAGGACTCTGTGATGGTGGGAAATGTGTTAATACCATTGGCTCATTTCACTGTGAGTGTGAAGAAGGGTATGCAAGAAGTGAAGAAACAAATGCCTGTGAAGGTATGTTAATCGTAAACATTTTTTAGCATAGAGAACATTAAAAGATAAACTACAATTTAAGAAAAAAAATGCTTGTGAATGTATGTACTCGCAACACCCTATTGTGGCAAGAACACATTTTTTATCATTTGTTAAAAGTTGTGAACTATAAGCTTCATATTACAATCTATTCTTCTATATTAACATTATAAATCTGTGTTTAAATAAAAATTTCAGAGGTGTGAAATAAACTAAGCCTGGGGTTTTCACATTTTTTAAGTCCTTTAGGATCCCCTTTTGTGAAGTTGAACATTAAAGACACACCCCCATTTTTAACATAACTAAAAATCAAATAAATACTAGTACAATAATACAGTTTTACAGATTCAGTTTCTTTTTTGATTATTCCACAACTTTAAAACATTCAACAACAAACAGGCTTGGTCTAGTGGTTAGTTTGCCCAGACTATAAATCTGAGGTTTCGTGGTTTACATCCTGTTGTTAAAAAAGAAAACAATTTGCTCCATACTTTAGTATCATGGATGCACTATAAGAATGACTATTAAATCCCACTATTTGTTCAATCATTAATAGCCCTAGAGTTCAGGAAAGGGGTGTTAACTAGCTACCTTCTCTCTAGTCTATCAGTTTGAAATTAAGGACAGTTATGTGTAAATAACACCTTGTTTAACTTTGCATAGAAATCTGAAATGAACTAAAAGGAAAAAATGACATACTTTCTCTGTAGCATAACTAGACAGTGATTTCATTATTACCCCAACTGATAAAGCTGGCTGTAATTTTTGGTTTTGTGTGTAAAACGTTATATGCACATATTTTACTTAAATACCACAAGTACTTTTACTAAAAGTACTTTAAAGAAAAATAATGTTATTATTAATTTATAGAAGGCTACTAAGAAATGGAATATCCATACAGATTATTCTTGTAAGAATTTACC